ACTAAGAGAAAAAAGGTATAGAAGGAAAATAATGAAGAAAAAAATGGGAAAAATGCAAAAAGGAAACCAAGGAATGGGTTTAACCACGAGAAAAGAGGGGGAAAAAAAAGAGAATTTAAATTGAGAAAAAAAAATTAACCAGCAACAGGGAAAAGAAAAAAAAAAAAAATGCTGTAAACTATGACCCAGAAGGAGACGAATAAAGAATAATAGTAAAAAGGACAAAAGTTTTAATAATAATACTAGTTTTAAAACAGACAAATACAAGCAAACTAAACATCAGAAAACAGAAAAAGAAAAAACTCCACGGAGGACAGGGCAGGGCACCCAGGCTTTGTCCGAGCACACAGACTAGGATGGAGTTCCTGTGGGTCCAGAAGGTGGGTGGGAGTGGGGGGATGGCTGCACCTCCGTTCCCCAAGCGAGTGTGGGGTATAAGAGTAACAAGAGGAATGTTGCACCTTTTCAGTCGTGCAGGTCCGGAGTGTCCTTGGCATTGCTGGCAAGCAGAACCTGTTCTTAAGTTCCTGGAATCTGGTAGAGTGTTGTGTCTTTAAATATCCAAAATGGTCAAGCCACTTGTAAACATTCAAATTGGCGGCACCCTCCGGGCAAAAGTCCACAGTTCAGCCTGTCTTCCTCTTCATCATTCCTTCCCCTTTTATTCCACAGCTACCAGAACCGAGCAATCCCTGGCTAGAAGGGCTGATTTTTAGGTTAATTCTTAGATCCTACCACCACTAGGGAATCTCCAAGCTGTCTGTGCCATCAGGATCACTCTCAGACCGCAGCTCCGTAAGTCTCCTTTTCTGGTATTTTCATGCAAATTCTTCTGCTACTTGGCGTTTAGTTCACTTCTATATTCTTCCCTTAAAGGCTCAGGGGTCCAGAATTATCTTCTGTGTCTGTGTTTAATTGGTTCCCCTTTTCTTTGTTGAAGAGGGTCTGTGCAGTCTTTCTGCCTATTCCTCCATCTTGGAATCTCCCTCCAATGCTTGTAAGCTTTTAAGATCTCAGTCGCTACTTGCCAAAGTAGGATGTGGAACAATGTTTTGTTATGTTATGCCAATTGAACTTGATGTCCCCTGTGACTATGGTCCTGCGCCCACAGGTCTAATTACTTGCTCCCTCTGGGTAGTTGGCTGTGGCAAAGAAGTGACTACAACCTTGTCCCTTGTCAGCTCTACTATATACCTGGGAATTCTTATAGAACATAGCAATGTGGGAGGAAGCAACATGTGTCACTGACAGGCTAGAAGTGACAGTGAAAAGGTGATTGACTAATCACCTTCCTTTCCTGCTTCTGTGGTACTCAGCATGTGGAAACACATGCTGGGATGAAAGCTCTATCAGTGTGGTTCCCTAAGTGACTACAATAAACAGAACTCTGTTTATTGTGTGTCTTTGGTGACACACACTGAACACAGAAGTGAAAATAAACTTGCTGGGTTAAGCTACTGAGATTTTTTATTGTTGTTTATTAATTTAGCAGCATAATCTAGTTAATCCCAATATACTTATAAATCATCTATGTTTCTAAGTTCTTAAGACAATATTTTATCTTGAAGTTATTAACAATGAGTTACCCAAATTCAGCATAATCTATATAGTATAGCATGGTGTTGCACAGTACAGCATAGAGGTCAGAAAGTCTCTTGGTTTAAATATTAGTCGGGCTAATTACTAGCTGTATAATCTTATGTTAATCTATTTTTCTGAGTCACAGCTTCCTCATCTTTAAAACGGAGGAAATAATAGTGCTTTCTTCATGGGATTACTTTGAAGATTAAATAAAATATCTTGCATATAAAGTACTTGGCAAAAAGTAGGTGATCGATAATAACATACATGCTATTATTTCTATTAAAGAAAACACTATACAATGTTCTAAGAGTTGGGCTATGCACTTTACCTTCAAAGTAATTACGTATTTCCCTTCAAATAGGTAAATAGGTTTTATGTGTAAAGAAGAAACTGGAGTTCAGAGAGGTTAAAACTTTCCCAAAGTCAAAAAGATATGTATGCTGCTCCTAATCTCAAACTGTCCTTCAATTTGAAGCCATTACCTCTTTCTGAAATCCCATAACTATCCTTTAAACCTAATCATCTGCTCCTAAACTATTATCAGGTAATCCAAGGCTGAACAGGCCTTGGGATAAAACCAATCTCCAGCATGACATAAATGAGCTAGAGTAGCTAGTGATTAAAATGCTGGAAGGACTGCAAGGAACATGAAAGATATTTTATTATCTTGCCATTTTGCTTCATCCTAATCATTAGAACACAGATCATAGGAAATAGCGGGGTAGGGAGCCTTAAATAATAAAGTACAGTCCATACTATTAAAATATCATAAAATAGAAACCTAGAAGAGAGCATGGAATCCAGTAGGTTTTATAAATTAAGCAGATGCTTTCCCAAAACAGTAGAATTACAAAATCTTAAGGGAAAAAAGGATGTAAAAATGTTTTGAGTCCAGTGTTTCCTAAATTATGTTCTATGAAAGTCAAGCACCCTGGGAGTAATAGGTATTTCCTGAAAAAGGAGTCTCAAATACAAATCTGTAAAATATAGAACTAACAGATCTGTCCTGGAGGAAGTGCAGCCAGAATGCTCCTTGGAAGCAAGAATGGCCAGACTTCATCTCACCTATTTTGGTCATGTTGTAAGAAGGGACCATTCCCTGGAGAAGGATGTCATGCTTGGTAGGGTGGAGGGTCGATGAAAGAGGGGGAGGCCTTCAATGAGATGGATTGACACGGTGGCTGTGATGATGGGCTCAAGTATAGCAGGGATTGTGGGGCTGGCGCGGGATCGGGCAGTGTTTCGTTCTGCTGTGCATGGGGTCGCTATGAGTCGGAAATGACTTGACGGCACTTAACAACAACAACGAACAAAATATAAAGTGAAAAAAACTTTTTTCGTGAAGTATTATATTCTATGGGAGCTCTGGTAGCATAGTGCCTAAGACACTTGACTGCTAACCAGAAGCCTGGCGGTTCAAACCCACTAGCCACTCCTCGGAAGGAAGATGGGGCAATCTACTTCTGTCGTGATAATGCCTCGGAAACCTAAGGAGGGGTCGCTATGAGTCGGGTCCAACATTACATTCTATATAGCTTTCTTTAAGTTTTACAGTATAAATTTATATATGAATACTCCTGAGAAGTCCTCCAGTAAAAAAGCAAATTTAAGTTAAACCCAACGTTTCTCAAACTTCTTTGGTTGTGAGACTCTTTTCAGAAACAGCAATTAACATTCTGCAGCACAGAATAGTTAAGTAGAAATAGTTTAATTATCCTAACAGCTGCTTTGTTGACTTTGCTAGTCATAGCAAATTTCCTCATTTCATAGATGGCTAAGTCAGAAATCTCTAAAGTTCTTTATCACTTATTAGACTAAATAGAGGTAGTGTGAATGATTAAAACAGGAACAACCTTTAGGAACAATAAACTGATGATTTAACAGAGAAATATGAATATTTTAGAAGAGGATTCAGTGTAACTAGACAATGAAATACTGAAAGGTCCCTTCTCCTCTACCCCCTACCTTCTTCCCTCACCCTGGAGATAGAACACAGACACACACACACACACACACAGACAAAACACGACTCTCTACCTTATATTGCTCTTTCCAACGACTTCTTGAAACTAAACTCTCTAGACGAGGCTGAATAAAGCGATTATCCAAATAATGAAGAGATGTCAACATATCTTGTGCATATGATTTTTTCCTAGTGCCATCTGTTCAGGAGAATAACAACAAAACAATCATTTTCCCCATATGAAATATTTAAGTAATTTTTACGTAAGGATCTCTTCTCATAATTTTAAGGAAGATAGTTAGTTAGAAGGCATTTTAATTAAAAAAGAAAAAACAATAATGAAATAAAAAAAAATCACACTAACATGGCATTAGGGAAAGAAAATAGAAAAAAGACTATAGTTCTCCTTGTAAGCATTAAGCTTTAACAATTATTTATTGTTAACAAAAACAGCCAGATGATTCCCATATTATATCTTTTATTCTCTTAACACAAAATGAACATAGATTAGCCACTGCATTGTAGATAAAGCTCAAAGTTCTGAATGTGGCTTTCGAGACCCTCTGCAACTGTCCAGTGGTAAATCCTCCTCCCAGCATCAGACCCTTTCCCCTAGCTAGGCCTGTTTCCTCACTCCCCTTCAGTACACTATACTCATTCCTGCCTTCCTGACCTATCTCATACTATATACCTTAAAACTGTTGCCACTGAGTTGATTCTAACTCATAGCTATCCTACAGGACAGAGTATAACTGCTCCTTAGGGTTTCCAGGGCTGTAATCCTTATGAAGCAGACTGCCACATCTTTCTCCTGTGGAGTAGCTGGTGGATTTGAACTGCTCACCTTTAGGTTAGCAACTGAGAGCTTAACCAATTGTGCTACCAGGGCTCCTTTTATATACCTTATCTATTTATACATATCTATCATATTCTGTGAGTTAAGCTTTGTTTTCCTTTCTTCTTTGAGGTTTCCTTAAAAACTGATGTGTTGTCGTTAACTGCCATGGAGTCTTCCTACTCATGGCAAACCCATGTGTGTCAGAATGAAACTTCCCTGTAGAGTTTTCAAGGTTGTCACCTTGTGGAAGCAAACTGACAAGCCTGTCTTTGAAGGTGCCTCTGGGTGGGCTCAAACTGCCAGCCTTTCTGCTAGTAGTCGAGCGCTTAACTGTTTGTGCCATCAAGGAACTCCTTTAGTAAGTTCACACATTCATGTTCTTTTAAGTCAGCACAAATTCAAATGCCTTACCAGGGTTTACAAAGGCCTCTGCTACCCACCTCAATTTATTTCTTCTCTTTCTCCCTCATCTCTTTCTACTCTTGCCACAGGCCTTCTCGTTGTTCTTTTAGAATAAGAAGACTTAGTCTTCCATAAGGGTGTTACCACCTACTGTTCTCTCTACAAGATCCATACATTTACTCCCCTCCTCACTTCATTCAGGTTTCCCTTCAAATTTCACATCAGAAACTTAGATAAATCTTTCTTCTCCTCCCTCATGGCACTTGACTGCTAACCAGAATGCTGGCAGTTCAAACCCACCAGCCACTCCTTGGAAGGAAGATGAGGCAATCTACTTCCCTAGTGATACTGCCTCGGAAACTCAAGGAGGGGTCACTATGAGTTGGGTCCGACTTGACGGCACATAACAACGATGACGAAGAATCACCAGATGAAATTATAGTTATGTATTTGTTTACTTATGTATTGTCTGTTTCTCCCATTAGACATTAAGCAACGAGAGCAGGAATCATTTATGAAGGGGAAAAAAAACAAACACCAAACCAATTGCCATCAAGTCAATTCCAACTCCACTGCCTCTCTGAGGCAGTAAATCCTTATGGAAGCAGATTGTTCTGTATGCCTTCTGCAGAGTGCCTGGTGGGTTTGAACCGCCAACCTTCTGATAAGCAGTTGAATGTGTTAGGCACTATGCCATCAGAGTTCCTTCATATATGATACTCACTGCTATATCTCCAGCCCTCAAATAATGCCTAGTCCATCACAGGAACTCAATAAATATTTATTCAATAAATTGTGAGAGGAATCTAATTTTAGTACTTAGGGTAGATATTCAATACAACATAAATAGTCTTCATTAAATTCTAGATTCTGTTAGATACAAGGAATACATTTGTACATAAAATACAGTTCTTCCTACACTCTGGTAAGGGAGGCAGGCAAAAATACATCTTAAATGGAAAAACACATGTACATGAACACCACCATACTCAGAATGGCGGTGCCAAAAACAAGGGGGACAAATATTTCTTGAATGGGTCATAGACAGTTTTCACAGTAAAAATGTTCTGATGCTCACATGGAAATTCCGGGGGAGAAACAGATTACATTCTGAGAGAAAAGCACGTGTAAAACCACTGGAGTGTAAAAATAGCATTTAAGTTTTGGGGAAACTCAAGAAGGCTGGAAAACGGTTGTTAAGCCATCCTGCCGTTTTATGAGTATATGTCCCAAACCCTTAAATTTCACTGGGAGCTCTGGTAGCATAGTGCCTAAGGCATTTGACTGCTAACCAAAAGGCTGGCGGTTCAAACCCACCAGCCACTCCTCGGAAGGAAGATGGGGCAATCTACTTCCATAGTGATACTGCCTTGGAAACCCAAGGAGGGGTCGCTATGAGTCTGTTTGAGGGCACATAACAACAACAACAACGATCCTAGAGGGAAAATTGGAGAGCCTTAATAATGGTCCTCCTTGGTTTTGCTTAATATAATTTTAAAAGCTAGGTTGATTAAAAATAAGAAGAAATTGTTCCATTCACACCATTAACTTACCATACAGTGTTTCCAGAAAAGATTCATCTAAAGCATTTATCAGCAAAGCCTTCACAACTCTTTCAAAGTGAGTATAGTGATCACTAAAAGAAACTGAAATTAATTTTAAACAAATATTAGAATCTAGTAGACAAAACAATTCCTTGCATATATAATTGGTTATTTTTCCCAAGGCTAAGAAATTAATATTATAAATAGCAGAAATAGCTTAATTGCCATAATTATATTGGTAATTTGTCTAGTCACAGCAAATCTCCATATTCCAAATTTCCTGACTTTTAATCCACAGGTCTAGTTGCTACTTCAAATAACCCCCACTTCCCAAGTTCAGTAAGGGAAAACTATTCAGGGAGTGTTACGAAATAAGTTCTGAGAAACAAAAATCAAAGTTCTTCCCTGGACACCTAAGTTCAACTGTCAACTTAAGAACAAGAGAAAAAAATCTCTAAGAGAGAATATCAGTATGTACATGAAATTCTTCTCTTATCCCTTATCTATAAAAGATTCTATATTTGAAATGGTCCAAAAAATTGCTACCCTCACCAGTATCCCAGTAGCTATAAAAACTGCACTTCCGTTTCTGTTGCCAAAGATTTAGGATTTCCTATAGCTGACATCAATTTAGAAAAGTTATCTTCTCTTTCCTATACTGCACATATAAGCCAATTTAACAATAACCCACATCTGGTCTCTACTATTTCCCACTACCCTTGGGTCAAAGTTTACTATGGTTGTGGAAATATTCCTTATTAAATATGCCTTCTTCCTTGATCTAATGGTCATCCTAAAGCATGTGCCCAGTTCTGGGCATCTCTGAAGATACAATAAGAACAACTTGAGTATTGCAAGAAATGTGGAAAATGCACAGCAAGGGATTTTAGAAAAAATAAAACCTATCATTAGTATTCTACCTACCCATTAGGATGAGTAGATTTTGACATTTCTTTCAGTTAAGTGAAAAGAAAGATGAGATTGAGCATGAATTTTTTTTTTATTTTGGTTCCTTACACAGAGCTGTGTAACTTTTTCTTAGACCTTAAGAAATTTTCATTATGCATTTTTTTCCCCAAAGGCGGTAACTTTACTGAAGTACTAAAGTGATCAAAATAAAGTAGTAATAAATAAAATAGTAATCTAATAATAATAAAATAAAATAGTAATCTAAATGACAAGAGCAGATAATTTTCACTGGTGCCTTTAGACTTGAGGGTCTATAATAAATTGAAAATTACAAAAAGAACTGATCATGGACATTAAAGAGTATTTTTTAAAAATTAATAGAACATGATCAGAAAATGAAATACTTAAATAGAATTCAACATTGGCTAGAATTTCATCAAACTCTGGATGTAGTATTATGGTGCTGGCAGGTAATTTAATTTGCAAGTACCCAAGTGCTAAACTCTACTGCAGCACTCCTCAAATTGTAATAAGGAAAAATTATCTTGGGAATACTAAATGATATGTTGGGAGCTCTGGTGGCATAGTGCCTAAGGCATGTGACTGCTAACCAGAAGGCTGGCAGTTCAAACCCACCAGCCACTCCTCAGACGGAAGAGTAGGCAGTCTACCTCCATAAAGATACCACCTTGGAAACCCAAGGAGGAGTTGTCATGAGTTGAAATCAACTCGATGGCTGTGAGTTTTTTTTTTCTGGAATAGATATGTTGAGGAAGAAAAAAAAATCAAATCTATCTCATGATTACTTAAGTTTACTTATCAAACATATTAAAATAGGATTTTTTATTTCATTTAATTTATCCATCTTAAATGTGCCCAATGTGACTCATCAGCTAGTGTTTTGGGAACTGTGGCTCCACTAAAAAGAGCCTGATAGTGTTTCTTTATGATTGAGAGGAAAGGGAAAGGGAAGAGATCAGGATCACCTGGGGATTTTTTTTTCCAAACTGCCAAAAGCCTCTCCTACCAATGTGTGTCAGAGTCTCCTAATTAGTAAAACCACCTCTATTTCACTGTGTTTATGTGGATGGGTGAATAGTGGTGGCATTATGCTTCCAGCATCTCATATTGCACATAAAATAAAAAGAATTAAAATTTATACAGCAATGGCAGGAATCATTCTAAGCATTTGTATGAATTGTTTTATTTCTCACAGCAAGCCACTAAAGTACTCTCATTGTTATCCTAAAGTTTATTTTCAGATGCGGAAACTGAGATAAAACCCAAAAACCCCCAACTCAATGCCACTGAGATCCATAGTGACTGTCTGTATGGGACTAAGCAGAACTGCCTTGTAGGGTTTCCAAGGCTATACATTTTTTTTCCAGAAGCAGACTGCCTCATCTTTCTCCTATGGAGCAGGTGGTGGGTTCAAACTACTGACCTTTTGGTTTACTGCCCAGTGTTTTTAACCACAGTGCCACCAGAGCTCCCTGAAACAGATAGATAAATTGAACACTTTCTCATGATCACACAGCTAGTAAATGTAGGAACTCAGACAGTCTGACTTCATGTTCATGCCCTACCTTCTATATAGATATTGGCATACATGATACCTAGATTTGATATTATTCTTCAGAATATGGACTTTTAGTATTGGATGGGATCTTAGAGAAAATTAAATTCAAATCTTGCTTACAATTAAGAAAAATGATACCAATGAAATGACTTGCACAAGGTCACACAACTAGACAGAGGGAGAACTAAGATTAGAATCTACGATTTGCTCAATACTTAATCCCTATACTGGATGGGCTTCTGCAGAATATTTTAGGAATACTGCTTAAATCCTCTTCCCACATGTAAAAAAATAGGGGGGGGGGGATATAGAAGAAAACCAAAAATAGTGTATTTATGCATTATTTACTTTTTTCAATATAGTTCATCAAATTTCCCACACCGAGTAATTAGTCATTCTTGATTTTCTGTGCATCCTTTATCATATATTGTTACTGTTATGTGCTGTTGAGTTGGACCTGACTCATAGCGACCCCTCCTTGGGTTTCTGAGGCGGTATCACTACAGAAGTAGATTGCCCCCAACCTTCTTTTCGAGGAGTGACTAGTGGCTTTGAACCGCCAGTCTTTTGGTTAACAGTCAAATGCCTTAGGCACTATGCTACCAGAGCTCCTAATTTCATATATATACTAGGGTCTTGTTTCAGTACCATGTACCATTCCTATTGATCTAGCTGTCATTCCAGTGTCAGTACTACACTGTTTGACATACTGCAATTTTCTAACTTCTTATATCAAGTAGAGCAAGTCCTTTCAATTTACTGTTTTCAAATTTTATTTATTCTCATTTTGTTGTTCTTCCAAGTGAACTCAATTGTTTTGCAAAGCCAAACTTAAAATTTCAGAATACCTTCTTGTACTACAAATTGCCCTCCAGAAACAAGCGTTCTTTCCATTTATTCACGTCTTCTTTTCTACTTCACAGTAGTTTATTTTCCTACCTATTCCAAAAGAAAACCTTTTGCTGTTGACTCTGACTCATAGCAACCCTATAGGACAATGCAGAACTACCCCATAGGTTTTCCAAGGCTGAAATCCGTACAGAAGCAGAATGCCACATCTTTTTTTCTGCAGAGTGGCTGCCTACCAACCTTTCAGTTAGCAGACAAGTGTTTTACCCCTGTATCACCTGGGCTCCTTTTCTTCCTATAAATCCATGCTTTTCTTGTTAAGATTAAGCCTAGGACTTTTATAATTGCTAATGTAAATGGAATTTTCCCCTATTACATTTTCTAAATAATTGCTATTAGTATATGAAAGAATAATGGAGTTTTTTGTTTGTTTGTTTTTTGCCTACTCGTTGTGAATCATTGTGAATCTGGTCATTTTTCTGAGGTCTCTAAGTAATTCCAAAACACTTAGAATCTCTTGAATACTGTGGGAGATGAGCTTCCTGGGACACTCAAGAGCTGGAGGCAGAGATACTGTGCAGGGATTCCTGAGCAGATTCTGCTTTCTCCTGCAACCTCAAAGAGGATGTGGTCTTACTAATGGTAAGTTTATTTCAAGAACCAAGATAATATTTTAAAATATTCCCTTAGGTAAAAGCACAAAGATTGTTAATGTACCTTCTCCTATAATGGAGGCATAATCTCAGTATAAGAACGCAGGGACGGAGCAAAAAACTAGTTGTTTTTTTTTTTTTTTTTTGGTACTCTAATAGGTCCCTCCTCCAAGAGAAAAAAACATTTAAAAGCTATGGAAAGATATGCTGCATTTACTACTGTTCTCAATGTATTCACATCCCTTAAGTTTTGTATACTTTGTCAAATAAATGGAAAACTACCCTGTTTTGAAGTGTTATAGATAGATCTCTCAGAGCCAGAAGGCAGAGTGAGAAAGTAACAAAATGTCTTCCTACAGGTAGAATTGTTCTTTAAAAAAAAGCAAAATTGCATAGGCCAATTATGGTAATTCTCAATTGAGTACTGAATTTGGAGTTAGGATTTACTTCTCTAAAATTCTGATCCTATAAAACCTAGGAGCCTTCACCCAAAGTACTTATTTCAATCATCCACCCATCCATCCAACTAACAATGAATGTCTATAATTTGTCAGAAACTCTAATGGTTCTTAGGAATATAAAGACAAGGAAAGTTGATTAAGTATTCCATTTTTTTGAGAGGGATGCCCATTTGGCTTAATTTACTGAGGTTTACTTTTTCACACACAGTAAAATTGGCTTTTGATGTACAGTTCTATAAATAAAACTGTGTAACCACACCACAACCAAAAAAAAAATAAGCACAGTTCTATTGCTGGTCAAAAACTCCTCATGCTACCTCTTAATCATTCAGTTTTGAACATACAAAATTTGAGGTGCCTGAAATACCCTGATAAAGATGTTCAATAACAAGATGAAAATTTAGATTTTATACTCAGGAGAAATCTGAGCTGGAGATAAAAGCTTCAAATTTTTTCTCTATAGATGGGGCTGAAGTGATAGGTAAGAGACTACACAAAGCACAAACAAAAAACCAAGGTAGTTTGGGGGGTAGAACCCTTGAAAACTTCAATATTTATGTTGCAAATGGAAACAAAAGGAAAGCACTATTACAAAGCTGAAAGCAGGAGAGAATTGAATCAAAAGGTGAAAAAAAGAGGAGCTTTCTGAGAATGGTCACTTGTGGCAAAGGACATAGCATTGCCAGGTTAATATAAAAACTGAAGCGTATTTCAGCAAGTAGGAGGTTATCAGTAATTTGAGAGTCATTTCACTAGATTGATGAGTGCAAGAGCCTGAAGACAATGTCCTATAGAGTTAATGGGAAACAGACCAAAAGACAACTTAGAATAGTGGCTAATTAAAGCATGCCAAGTTAAGGAAGAAATGGCATGAACATGGTTACAATTTGAAGAAAAACAGTTTTTAAAGAAACAAAACTGTCAAATTAAAACAAAACCATGTGGATGACAAAGCCATAGGAGAAGTTGTGATTAAGAAAATACAACATAAAAGATATTGCATATAAAATGAGCTACATCTTCCCCTGAGGGAGTCAGTGCTTAAAATAAAGGGGCACATGGTAGAGAAGAAAGTGGAAGTGGTTCCCACAGGTTGGACTTTAATTTTGTTTAATTAGCAGGAGTGGATATGAGTGGGTATCTCTCAGCAAATATTCTATTATAATCTAGATATATAATCCAGAACAATGGGACACCTCCTGAGTTTCTGTTATTATTGAACTGTTCAGGTGCCAGATGAACCAATGCCTAGTGATGTAAGAAAAAGAGTTACTATTTTACAGTACATAGATGTCTATTGTGGCATCTCTATAACTGCTGAATTTTCTTGAAATTTGATCCAGGCCTCCATTTACTACTTTATCATAAATTGTGAGATCTAATTGAACCATGTTATACTTAATTTTGGGAGCTCTGGTGGCACAGTGCCTAAGGCATTAGATTGCTAACCAGAAGGCTGGTGGTTCAAATCTACCAGCCACTTCTCCAAAGGAAGGTTGGGCAATCTACTTCCATAGAGATACTGCCTCGGAAACCCAAGGAAGGGTTGCTATGAATCAGATCTAACTCGACGGCAATGTGTTTGTTTTTTTGTTTTTTATACTTAATTTTACTAAATATTGCCTTTCCTAAAATATTTGGAAAATACATTATGAAGGGCAAAACACAAAATGTATCAGTCCTGCAGACTGTTTATACCAGAGTTGTAAAACATCACAAAACAATCAAATTTATGTAGCTAGAGAAATCAGAGTAATACTACTTAAAGACAGACTAAAATTTTCAGAATTCTATTATTTATATTTCAGTTAATTATATTAAAAAAAAAGATTCTAATTTCCTATCTCTGGTAGAGGGGTCCCAAGTGGTGCAAATGGTTAATGTACTGAGCTGTAAATGAAAGGTCAGAGGATAGAGTCCACCCAAAGGCACTTCAGAAGAAAGACCTGGAAATCTACTTTTGGAAAATCAGCCACTTAAAACTATGGAGCTCATTCCTACTCTGAAACGCATAGGGTCACTATGAGTTGGAATTCACCTGACAGCAAGGATGGTGAGGTCAAGGCAATAATGTGAACATATTATTTGTTTGCTTTTCTAGTATGTTAACATTCATACAAAAGCAATGATGGGTAAGGTAGTTGGCCCCTTAGGATGAATCAGAGCATTAGCTCCAAACTATTAGCAGCCATTACAGTGATCACTGCTATACACTCACAGTTTAGAAAAGAAAAAAGCTAGTTTTACTTAAGAATGTCCTTCATAAATTTATTAATGTTATTAATTTTATTTCATCTTGAATCTTGAGTACACATCTTTTAGTACTCTATGGGATTAAATGGGAGTATGTATTCATAGACAAAACACTTACACTGCATACCAGAGTATGATGCTTATTTGGAGGAAAAGTACTTCTGTAATTATTTAATTTGGGAGCTGAAAAAGCTTCATTTTTCATGAAATACCTTTTTAACTTGAAAGAATGAAAAATTGGTTACTCAGACTTGGGTATGTGGCAGACAGTACAGAGTTTCTTAAATGTGAATGAACTTGAACCTAACACTTCAAGAACTGGGAATATTTGCTAATGACAAAAAAAATCAAGCTTTAAAGTAGAAAACAGAATTTTGAAAAACTTTTATCTGCAACTATAAGCTTGACAGCTTCCTAGTTCTTCAATAATTTTCTGAGATTGGTGATGATATTAATGAAAGTGATTTTTTAAAATTGTATAATAAAATGTGTCAACAGCAAAAAGATATGCATAACTTGGTGAATCAATATTTCCCAAATGACCAATATACAATGTTACAAAATCAGATATAGGCTAGAAAACAAACAAACAAAAAAGATCCATTCAAACTGTAAAACAGACTAATGGATTGTAGTGTAAGAGAGTACTAACACTTAAATTACATGGTTTCAGATTCAATATTGTAAAAAACTTTTAAGAAATTATCACTTGTTGAATTTTGCCTTCAAGGAAGAATATCCACAATTATTTTGAGATACTTCTCCTTTTTCCAACTATGTAACTATATAAGGCCAAATTTTTTTCATTCACTTCAACCTAAACAACATTTTCACAACAGATAAAATACAAATTCAGCTGCTTTCTATTAAGCCAGACATTAAAAATATTTTTTAAAATGTCAGTTTTCGCATTTTTGGGTAAAATATAGTTATTTGTCATGAAACTATGTTAACATGTAATGAGTTTATTAACCTTAAGCTAATAAATATTTAAAACATTTCTCAGTTTGTATTTCTAGAATGGTAAATACTGATACACATAAGTCACATAAATAAAAGTTCTGGGGGGTCTTCAATAATTTTTAAGACTGTAAAAAGTTCCTGAGACCAATGGAATAAACTATTATCTGACAATTTAAAGCTACCTGGAAATGAAACCATAATTTCTAATCAATGATTTGTTGTTAAGTGTTGTCGAGTCGGCCCCAACTCATAGCGACCCCTCCTTGGAATGCCGAGGCAGTATCACTACAGAAGTAGATTGCCCAACCTTCCTTCCGTGGGGTGGCTGGTGGATTTGAACCACCAGCCTTCTGGTTAGCAGTCAAGTGCCTTAGGCACTATGCTACCAGAGCTCCTTACTAAAAGGCTGACTTGTCATAATATCATTATTAGAGCATGACACAAAATAATTTCTTGATATTTAACTTACAAAGAGAATTCTGTTTTACTAATTTCAGTTGTGAAGTAGCCAATTTTTCTCCTCTTTGGCTTTCATTCTCTTCACCTTCCTCATCTTGTACTACAAAGTCATCAATAATATAATCATCTCCATCTTCATCAGACTCATAATCGTCTTTCTCCTCCTCTTCATCTTCATCATTACTTGGACAGGATTCCTTTTCAGAGTCCTAATTAAGTTAGAACATACACTTCAGTATATTTTGCTTGTAAAATTGCTGAGTATGAATGTGACATGAAAAGATTAAATCTGAGACCAAAAAATTAACTTCCTATTTTAAGGTTAAATTGTTTTTTTTTCTCATGTTAAATATTAGAATTTTGAAATTAGGAAGAAGATAGTAATGTATCTTGGATGTAAATGTAAGGATGTACAATGTTTAATAAAATGAATGATAAGGTCATAAGTAGAAGTTAAAAACGAGAAAACAACAACAAAAAAACAAAAACAAAAGCCACTGTCATTGAGTTGATTCTGACTCATAGTGAACCCCACTAGGTTTCCAAGGCTGTACATTTTTATGGAAGTAGACTGCCTTATCTTCCTCCAGCAGAGCAGCTGGTTGAACTGCTGACTTTCTGGTTAACGTACAAATGCCTTACCCGTTACACCACCAGAGCACCTTAAAAACAGGAAAGGCCATATAAAATAAGTCTTTCAGTTTATAGAAAGAAGTGATGGACTGATGCTCATGAAAAAAAGTATAGTAGATACAACAGTGCAATCAAACATGTTAAAAGAAACTTGATTAAAAAATAAATTCTAGGATTATTGAGAAACAGAACAGATTCAGCACTTTTGATTTTCATAAAAATTAAGTATCTTAAATAAAAATTTAAAACCAGTAACAAAACAAACAAAACAAAACACACCTCCAAATCTCTGTCACTGCTGTGTCTCTGACGAGATCTTTGCTTTGACAGTTCTTTCAGCTTCCGGAGCTGTTCTTGTTTTCGTGCGGCTAAAGTTTTTGCAGAGTTATTTTGCTCCATCTCCACTGAAGAATATTCATCTTCAATCACTCTTCGTGGACGTTTGCCTCCTACTTTTATAACTAGTACATCACTGTCATCACTGTCATCACTATCATACATCACCGAGGATATCCTTTTTCTCCTCCCTCCCTTGACATGTTCTTCTAAATCTTCCTCTATTATTTGTCCAGTGTGTTTGCTGAGATCCTCCTCCTCCTGACTTGGATGCCTTTCATGATCTGGTAAGTCAATACTCCTACGCTTGCTTTGATTCTCTTCTTCTTCACATGTTGAACTGTTGCCAATGCTAGTAAGATGCGAACCGTTGTTTCCTTCACTTTCAACTTTAATGAATTTAAGCTCACTTTCATTTTTGGGCTTTTTATTGCCATCAAGCTCCTTGTTGCTATCAAACTCCTCACTATTATCAGTGCTTTCATTATTATCAGCACTTTCATCACTATCAAATTCTTCATCACTGTCAAACTCTTCATCACTATTAAGCTCTTCATCACTATCAAGTAAGTGTGAGATACTACTTCTTTTAGTTCGCCTCCAATCAACTCTTGATTTCTGCTCTGGCACTTGAATTTTAGAATTATTTCTTGTTTCACGTTTTCTAACACGTACCATTTTCATTCAAGTTCCTACAAAATAAAGTTATTAAGACTATAACAATATAATCAGATTATAAAAATGAATAAATACATTTATGATACCAGTTACAACATTTGGTGTTATACAATGATGCACAAAGGCAAAAATTACATGGAATACATGAGTGAAGATGGTAAAACAGTCACTCAACAAATGATTTATTGAAAATCTATGAATTATTCTGAATCATGTTATGTTGTTCTGAACAGGGTATATAGAAAGAAAAATCATGATCCTTATCCTTCAAAAGATTAATTCTGTGTAGAACTAAAACATAGAAACATGTAATTATTAAGCAAAATGAAAGGTAGCATTTATTTAGTACCAAATGAGAGATAAAAATAAGTGCTACATTAGTATAAAGATGAAAGGATATCAACAAGGTAAGTATTTCACTAGAGACTTTACTGAAGAGATGTGATCTGATGTAATTTTAATGCACTGGCATGGTACCGTGAATTACTTGGTATGGCTTTGCTAGCCATGGTCTTTGTGAATCCCACCAGATGACTGGGTGGAACTATGCAAATTTAAGGTGCTTGTGGCCCACCAAGGGGATTGGATAGCCTGTGAGTAATGTAAATAAGGTACACAGCAACCTTGTGGGGATAGGACCACGCAAATAAGGTGTATGGAACCCTAATGTTGGGATTGGTTAGTTTTGTCATTCTGCCAGGCTTAAAGTGAACCCTCCAAGAGGCAGAAAGGAGGAGGGATCTCAGTGCTATCAAGAGAGAAGAGCCAGAGGTGGAGTGGAGCACTTCGTTGGACCCGAGATCCCTGCACTGGACCTCCATGGCAGAGAGACAGCAGAGACGACTGGCTGAGACAACCCACTCAGACAACTCACAAAGAATCAAGAGGCACGAAACAAAGCAGCAGGCTTGCAGAGCCCACAGAGCGAGAAAGCTGAGTGACTATGGGCAGGAGGCTTGCTGGCAGAGTGGGGTGCCCCTAGGTGCTTCTATGTGTAGAGCTAAAAGAGCTTTATAACACTTGTCCAAGCAAGGCAGAGAACCAAAAGGCCAAAGGCCAGAGAGGTGTGTCTGAGGGCATAGCAGAGGGGACGCTGTCCTAATTGAAAAACTGTATCCTGAGAATGTTCCTGAATCTGAATTGTAACCTGTTACTTCTCTAATAAACCCCATAATCATTGAGTATTACTTGTGAGCTCCAGTGTGGCCACTGCAATGAATGATCAAACTCAGCAGAGAAGTAATGAGTGCTATAGGAGGGATGGTTGGTGTCAGAATTGGTAAAAAGGTTGGAGGATGGTGGCATGTCTTACTTCTACCTCATAGCAATCAACCTTGAGCTGCTGGTGGCGATTCTGTCTCCACCTTGTGAAGTTAGAGGAGGTCAGAAGATGCCGCCTCCATGCCCTTTTTGCAACTGGTCATATTTGAATAAAAAAGAAAAAAGGGATTTCGGGCAAGTAAAAATGGTAAGGAGAAAACTTTGGCATTGAGAAGAAACAAGGAATCTTCAGTAAATAAGGGTGAATAAAAAGTGAGAAAAAAGGCTTTATGATAGAAAAAAATAGGTAAGAATGAAAAAGTACAGTGGTATTACCAGAATGATTCATTCTCCAGGCCAAGAAGGATTTTGAACAGAGAAATGATGCAAACTATAACATAAGGAATCAATCAATTTACATGAAGAAAGCTGTAAAGTATTAATCTATATTAAAAAAAGTAGTATAAAGCTAAGGAAGGTAACTTATCCACTAAGGCTGCAATGTCTACATACTTTAGTAAAATGGCCACAGCTTTAAATCTCTCAAAGTTAAAGACAAAACATAACCCAAAACAAAACTTATTAACAATCCAATAATGTAGTCAGGTAGAAAAAAAAGTTTCATGGTAGAAGTAGAGAATGATATTGGAGAGGAAAACAAACGGTGTAAGTTTGATTCAAAGGATGAATTTCATATATGTTTAAAAAAAAAAAAAATCATGGTCGGTTAGTTCATTGGACTCACAGCAACCCCTCCTTGGGTGTCTTAGGCCTATCACTACAGAAGTAGATTGCCCCATCTTCCTTCCCAGGAGTGGCTGGTGGGTTTGAACCATCAGCCTTATGGTGAGCAGTCAAATGCCTTAGGCACTATGCGACCATATAAGTATTTGTGCCTCATGTTTTTTAAAGATAATAAGTTAAAGGCAATAATGAATACATCACTCCACACCTAAAAGGTGCTTTAATGATGCCACTTGAATTCTAATCAGTAGACTCTGGGGTTCCTCGGAAGGAAGGTTGGGCAATCTACTTCCGTAGTGATACTGCCTCCGAAACCCAAGGAGGGGTAGCTATGAGTCGGGTTCGATTGGACGGCACATAACAACAACAGACTCTGGGGTTAATCCATTCTCAAGAAAGATTCATTCTAGGAGTTACCTATTTGCTATGTGCAAAAAATAGGCGATAGGTAACACTTTAAGGGTTGAGAGGCAGTGGAATGCCAGCCACTCCTTGAAATTCCACCATAAGGGATGCATTGATAGTTGTAAAACCTCCTCCTTGAGGCTTTCTTTTGTATGGCAAATACAGTTCGAAGAGATGACATTAATAATCCAAAGAAACAGTAACTGAACTCCTACTATGTTCCAAAACATATCCGGAGCTGTGGCGTTACTAGAAGAAATCAACTATACAGTCTGCTCCCAAGGAGCTCAGAACTTGATAATATTACTAGGGAAACCAAAACAAGCTAGCATAATACATGTTTAAAGACTACAGTGTATGATTCTCATCAAGTTATCACACTGTTACGGATAAGTTTATCATAGTTCTTCTATTGGCTAGAAAACGAGACAGCACAACATGACATAAATAGGAAAATATGAAACACATAAAGGAAAGCTGGTTTCTCCCCACTTAAAATTACGATTCCACACTACAGGATTTTGAACGGAGTGGGTCTTGCCAATTTGGCATTCCGGACTATATTACTCATTAAGATTTCTAACACTGAAGATGTTTCCCTAGATCCAGCAGAGATGAGTGGCAGGAGGAGGAACAGAACAGATTCTCTCCGGAATTAACCCGAGTCATTTTTTTAATTACCAATCTGGTTCTTAGGCTGCTGTCAGGCACGTATCGCAGCCCGCCTGCCCATCAGCTACTCTACCTCCAGAAGGGAGGAGGGACACCATGGATAGAAGCAAGACCCTTACGTACAGGTTCGCGGTAACAGCCAAGGGACGACAAATGCTCCCAGGCCCCAGAGAGGTTCGCACCCAGAAAACTGTCTGGAAGGCCAGAAACCCGAGAAATCACTAAGGGAGCTTTCATAATTAGGTCCGAGCTCTGCCCAAAGCAGAAGGACACCGGCAACAGGCCCACTGCGTCTCAGCCCAAGCGGAGGGTAACTGGAACGAGTTGTTTAGCGGGAGAGACCCCGGCCATCTCGACAGCGCCTGGGGGAATCTTCTCCTAGCACGCCAGGAGACAAGGGCTCCCCGCCCCTCGCTCGCTAATCGACAGATCGGCGGTTCAAACTCACCAGCCTCTAGGCGGGAAAAAGATGAGGCAGTCAGCTTCCCTAAATATTACAGCCTTGGAACCCTATGGGGCAGCTTTATTCTGTCCTACAGGATCGCTATGAGTCGGAATGCACTCTTGGCAACGGCCTAGGTTTGGTTTAGTAAACCTTTAGCGGCAAGAACCCGAGCTAACGAGTCCCGATCCCAGCTGGCCCGCACCGCTCACAAGACCCCGCCTTTCCAAAGGCCTCTGCCACTGATAGGCCTCCGCCTTGGCCCCTGGGCACCAGCTCCAGAAGATCCACGCTTCTCTACCTTCCGGGAACCAGAGGAAGTCCCGCCTCTGGGAGGAGCAAAGGGAGGGGTCAGGTGGCGGGAGGGGCGTCTTCCGGGAGCGAGTGCTGGGGGAGGAGCAGGCGCCGCGCGCTAGTCAGGGAGCCGTGCAGGGTCCTGATTCGAACTGAGGTGGGGAGAGGGGCCTGGCGGGCTGTGAGAGACCGTGGGTACTGTTCGGAGTAAGCTTGGCACGAGGAAGCGGGGCTATGCGGCGGGAGGGGCCAGCAATTGGAGAAAAGATTTAACGTAACCGTTCCGTTGGAGAAGGGGGCGACCGGGCGGGCGCCAGTCTTCTCCTCCGTGGCTCTTCAGCTCTTCGCCCTGACTTTGGGACCTGACGGGGTTAGTGACGAGAGCTTAACTGGGATCTGGGTGTAGCGGAGGTTTGTGGCCACGATGTGGTTGTAGTCTTCTCGCGGCCGCTGGGGAAATAAAACAAATGTATGTAATCCGGATTAACCGCGGGTGATGTGGGGCCTCCTGTTCTGCCCGTCTAAGTTAAAGGCCTGTTCCCTCAACCTCCCTCCCTTTAACCCTCTTTCCTTGGCCATCTCTTTGCCAGTCACGCCCAGCTGAGGAGATACTAGGGCCACCAAGTTCTTCCTAAGGTTGAAAAGTCTTTCAGACTGAAAAAGTCTGTGTGAGGGAAGGAAAGATTTTGTGTATTGCCTCAGTGTGAGTGAGGGTTGAATCCCAGAGCCTCACCATGTCAGGGAAACGGAAACGTGTGGTGTTGACTATTAAAGATAAGCTTGATATAATAAAGAAACTTGAAGACGGAGGTTCTTCCAAACAATTGGCAGTTATTTATGGAATTGGTGAAACAACAGTTCGGGACATAAGAAAAAATAAGGAAAAAATTATAACATATGCAAGTAGTTCTGATTCTACAAGTCTTCTGGCCAAGAGAAAATCTATGAAACCATCCATGTATGAGGAACTGGACAGAGCAATGCTGGAATGGTTCAACCAGCAAAGAGCAAAAGGGAATCCTATATCTGGACCAATTTGTGCAAAAAGAGCAGAGTTCTTCTTTTATGCTTTGGGAATGGATGGTGATTTTAACCCTTCTGCTGGCTGGTTAACTCGTTTTAAACAGCGGCACAGCATTAGAGAGATTAATATTAGAAATGAAAGGTTAAATGGAGATGAGAC